CCCAACAAAAACACATGCTCAATAGTCTCAGGTTTTCTACATAGAAGGCAATTTACCGACCATGGCACATAGATCCCTCTTTCTTTAAGCCAAACCTTAACTGGCAAGGTATTCGTGTGTAATTTATAAAAGAAAGTCTTAACAGCCGCGGGAACACACATCCTTTTTACACGTCTAAGCACATCGGGGCCACGTTGGGACACATCTCGATACAAGGGCATGGGGAAAACACGTACTCACAACTAAATTGCGATAGAGCGCTTTTTTACTGACATCACGAAGGTAATTCAAAGAAAAACGTGCTGTCAAAAACCCCATCGTGTCAACAACTTCTTTCAAAAAACCAGTGATTCTTGTTGGTACAAGAAAAGATGGCAAATCTGGTGACACTTTTGTTTGAATCAGTGTGCGAATGAACGGGTGCTCTTGGTCTCTCAAAAAGAAAAGAAGCGTGACACAAGCTGCTTGACAAAAAGGTGGGAAAGCCCCACGCCACCGTTACAAACTCGATGAAAAAGATTGTCTCGTCTCATCGGCTCATATAAACGTGGCAAAAATTCGATGAAATTTTTTAACAATAGTTCGCGCACAATGGATGACCTGAAGAACATACCAGAGCTTCGCAATAAGAAAAAAGTTACAAACAGTCGCTCGGGCAAAAATGGACAGCTCGCGTTGCTTCCAACGAGAAGCACACCTGTCCAGGTCGGTAGCGACACCCGACCAGTACGTTTGGCTATTCCGGAAACTTTGCAATGGCCATACAGACGGCTATGCAATGGCCCCCCGAGGTACTTGCACGGCACTGTGTCCCAGCATACACCCTCAAATTCTGAGGGTGTAGTGGCCCAAGCGCCATGCCAGAAACCACGGCACTTCTCAGTAGCGTTGCAAAACCTTTTAGCCAAAGTTATGACTTCGGTGACGCTTTCTTTGTCCCTACGAAAAACAGCAATGTCATCGGCGTAGCTCATTATTTTTACTTCTGCAATATAAAATTGGAAGCTTCGGACACGGTGACTATTTTTTACGCTTAAACAAAAAAGCTCTAAATACAAATTAAACAGAAGGGGAGACGTAGGGCAACCTTGTCGTATTGAGTCTCGTATGTTAATAGTTGAAATGTTCCTACAGCACAAGCACTCCCGGGTTGACGTCGAAGGTCCACGCATTGGCGACATGCGTACTTAGTAAAGAAATTTGATTTTGATTTGATTTGATTTATTTTGCACAGATCAGGCACGTACACGGCAGCTTGCAAGGCGAAGCAGAGAGGTTAAAACCTTTACGCCTGTGCACATTAAACTCGAAGTACACACTTCGTACGGTGCTTGACGTTTGCGCGAGCGATGTCTTCAGCCACGAGAAGGGAGCGACGGCTCGGCGACGTCTTCGTGCAAATCGGCTTCGTGGTCGGGCGTGTCGTCCGGGATGAATACCAATTCTTTTGATCAGTCCCAAATTTCTCTTTTAAAGGCGGACAGAGTTCGCCGGTACCACAAACGACAGTTCTGAAGTAGAGGTCCCACGTCCGTCGTCCGCTGCCATCGCCGTGCCCGCGAGTCCCACGATAAGCGAAACGATGCACGCACAGAATGCTTCCGGTTCTCTGTGCAACTTTTTTTTTCAATCAACGTATTTGCAGCTTCTTAGAAGCCACAAAAAAATTGTTTTCATATTCTTTTCTATTTTTAATATTGAGTGTGTGCCTTCAGTGACCATCGACTTTGATTCAATTTGGTGGTCGCGTCGAAACCTTAGAAAACGGCCAGTGACCACAAAAAAGAGAGTGAGCGATACTCAAACCGGTCAGTTCTTAATCGGCGGTTTTCGGCCGGAAAGAAACCGAATTTTGAGCCGCAAATTGTGTTCTGGGTATTTGGGCTCTCATATGTCATGTACAACTAAAAACCTCAGCGAGCATAAATACCCTGTCAGTGTCCCTTTAAACTCTCTTAATTCGAACTTTCGGATAATTCAAACTAACATGCAGGTCCCATCCTATGTGTCTCTGAGAAGAAACTCCGGGTAATTCAAACTTTGCTCTATTCAAACAAATTTTCGGTCCCCGTCGAGTGTGAGTTAATGAGATTCGACTGTATGCTCTCGATTTTGGACATAAGGAGAAAATAAAACACGTTATTGGAGCTTAATTCTCTCGATCTGAAAAAACACTGGTGTGCACTACTGCTGTCCAGTGCTCCATGTGTTTTTAAATGGAATCGAAACTGCCTTTAAGGAAGACTTGAGTTTACATATTCTTGCTTTAACCAACACTCTTATCATGGTTTTAGTAGTGTGTCAATGTTTTTATTTCTTTGTAACCTATATTTATATCTATAAAGTTCTATTCTATCGTTCTCCATTTCGACGTCAGAGCCAATGGAAGATAAATGTAGAAACCTCTCAATCAATCCATTTGCTTTACCGAATCGGCCATGGCAGAAGTTGGCCATGGATATTGTCGGACCACTGGCTCGAGCACCACCAGACAAAAAGTTTGTAATAACACTGATAGACTATCACTCAAAATGGCCTGAGCTCTGCTTTACAAGCCATGTGACCTCGCAAACAGTCATCGAGTTTCTCCGCTCGGTGTTCAGTAGGGAAGGGTACCCTGAGGAGATGGTAACATAATGGTACGCAATTTAAATTCAAAGAGTTCGAGGATTTTCTTCAAGAAAGGGGAATCCGGCACTGTCTGTCTTCAGTATACTATCCGCAAGCAAATGGATTGATTGAGAGGTTCAATCGTGTCTTAAAGGACTTCATCCAGCTTGCTATCCTCGAGAATCGCCCTCTGCAGTCTGCGGTTACCGACTATCTGGGCGTTTACAGATGTACCCCACACGGCACGACCGGAATCTCCCCTGCTCTTCTACTGCACGGTCGGCAGCCAAGAACAAGGTTAGATATAATAGGACTGCCATCCAAGGACTTCTTTCAATGACCAGAAGCCGAAACAAAATCTCTTCGGAAGAGGGTCGAGGACCGGCAGAGCAAAAGCAAGGCCCACACTGACGAAAAACGTGGTGCCAAGTTTAAGCAAGCCGATTTCGTCGGAGTACGCAAGCCGCCTGGAGGCACGAAAGGAGACCTTAGGTATACGACACCGTTGAAGGTCCTAAAAAGAAAAGAACCACGCACGTTTCTGCTGGAAGACGAACGGACGTGGAACATTTCAAAGTTAGTTCTCATCCCTCAAGCGGGAAAAGAAAAAGAACCAGATTGGCCAGGATGGTTTCCGTTGAATTCAGGGGCACCGATGGAAACGCAGTCAGTTCCATCCCGCCAGCGATCGTTGCATGACGAGCAGCTGCCTAAACTTGTTGTGGCAGAGCAGAGGACACCGCCTGGACGGGAGGAGTCTCCTTCCGCGCCTCTCCCAGCTTCCCAGCAAATGTCGCAACCGGACACTAACGTGCGGCAGCCCTTAACACGATCACGTAAACCACCAAGCTGGTTACGGCATTATGTCACATAACATGTGAAGCAATGAAGGGCACGCATCAGATACTGATACTTTGTTTCGCTTCGTGTAACTGAAAGAATGTTTTCTTTTTTTTTAGGGGAAGGTAATGTTGTGCTCTGATTTGTATAGCTGCATTGTGTTAGCAACATATGTACAAATCATCATCATCACCATATGATCTGTACTTCATTTTCTTCTTTGTCGATAAAAGTCAATCTGATTTGGAACGTTGACTGGGCTCAACCTGTTCATTTATTCTCTGCCGAGTCCCCGAGGACACCGCACACGCGCAACTACCCCGCCTTAATAACTTCGTGTACTGCCAGCAGGTATGGCTAGATAAACACAAATCGATTCTTATTCCAGGCGGCTTCTACAGTTGAGCGATTCCGATGGCATCGAGCACGGGCTGCAAAGACACTCTGCTCTTTCTGCAGGGTAAACAGCACTTCCACTGCTTTGCCGGAGAAGCACGATGCAGTGCATCGAGCATTCGTGAGGCAAAATACGGCAGTCTTGTTCAGCGCCTCAGTTGAAAGGCGGTCGGCATCTTCGCAAAAGATGTCCGACGAGACTTGAGTCAGCTGTTTCTCAAGACACCGGAAGTCAGTGAAGTGTCACTGGAAGGAACAGTAAACATGATGCTGATGCAATTATTGCAAACGTCCAGTGAGCTAGATAAGGACGACGATGATAATGCCTCGAGAAGGGAAACGAGGTAATTGTACGTAAATGTAATTCCTCACTCTTTTTTTTTGTGGCATGTACGAGTGTGGTTATTGCGACACTCTAGTCGCGTGTCGCGATTGTAAACCAGCAGGCGGTGGCTAGGTTTTTGTAGGGCCTTTTCTTCGAGACGGCAGAAACGTTTGTGCTCCATGTTCATTTACCTCGTCTATCCTGGTGCTTTTCGAACGTTTAGGGCCTCAAACTTCCCAAGCTTTTCGTGGGCATTTTCGAATTGCGACCGTTGCCAATTGTGTTCACTTTGCACCTGGTGGCAAAATGGCGGCACTCGCGAGCCAACCAGAGACTCAAGTGTTGACACTTGAACGTGGCCCGTCGAGTTGCCCTAGCACACGGGTTCTCGAACTGTTTGGACTCACGGAACCCCAGGAAGCCTCAAAAACTGCCGTGAAACACTCCCCCCCTCCATATTTGCCGACTGAGAAGCAACAGATGCACAATTGTAGGCAATTTTGCTTGTGTTGCTTCCCAGATATCCCCACCATATCAATCGCGATGTCAGTACAAAGTGAGATGAAGGCACTTTGCACGGTCCTGCCGCGCAGCCTGCGGCGTGGGGGGGGGGTTACAATATGGGTGTTCGCAGAACCCATGAGACCAGCTCGTGGAACCCCTGCGTTCCCCGGAACCCAGTTTGAGAACCCCTGCCCCAGCAAATACTAACAATTTTTAGTAGCACGGAGACAAATCTCTGAAGTGTACAATGTCACCCAGACGGATTCCACCGACTGACCGGTTTCCTTCGTTTCTTCGCTGCACAAGGGGACACGGACGGGTTTTCGAAGGAGGTAAAGGGATTGGACAATTAGAAAAATTTTTTTAACATATTTCATTTCGGACATGGCACATGCCTATATGTTACAAGAGGTAAGTGAACCCTCTATATGTACAAAAGAAAACAAAAAAACCTTTGGCCACCACTGTTGGCAATTCTGTCTTTTTCTTGGGTCCTGAGTAGGGCCGATACCTGAAAGAGCAAACACATTCTGAAAGATTCTGCACCTGCGGAATTCGAACCGCCTAAACCACATTACGCTCCAAGTAATTCGGATTTTACCAAACGAGTGCATGCCACGTGAAATATTACTGCAAAGACCGCACGGTAGAATGTTCATAGATTTTTTAAACAAAAAATCTTTCAGCCTTTCCATTTTGGTGAAGGACGAGCAGCGGAGCTGAAGCTTCTGTTCTCGACGGTGGCTTTCCAGGCAAGCGATCTGCTCATCTTTCGCAAGGGAATCTGAAGCGCTCGACGCAGGGAAACTTTAGGCGATAGCGGCCTCGCGGCGGTTGCGGAATCACTCGCGCTGCTGCGCACATCGCTGCTCATTCCGTTCCCGCTCTTCCTCCTCCGAAGAAATGTTGCTGCCATCTATTAGCAACGGCAGCAACCAGTTGTCTGGTTGCCGAGGCTGGAAAGGTTGCCGCGATCTATGAGTGACGGCGACAAGCAGACAATCGGCAAACACAACACTCTGGACAGCTACTGCCATCTATGAGCGACGGGGGCAACCAGTGTTGTGTCAACATTTGTTTGGTACCGGACACGGTCCTGGGGAAACTAGCCCTTAACAGCTCCGCTGAAAAATTTAGTAAAGCGATGTAGGACATTTATGCACGGACATCACTGTCACCTATTGGATAAATTATGTTAATACAGTCTGAGCTCATTATAGCAGACTTACATACAGTGGTGGTCCAGCCATTTTAGGTTTTGGAGCAATTTTTGGAGCAAGAAAAACCCAATTTTGGAGCAATTCGTATCACATAAACTCCCCTTTTGGAGCAGGGAAAAGCTCGTTTTGGAGCACCTTGGTATCAGGAAAACTCAACATTTTGGAGCAGCATGAACATAGAGCAGTTCTGTGCCATGTCTTTATTATTATACAATCTTACCTCACCCCCCATATATATATATATATATATATCTGTGTGTGTCACGAACATCTGAATTTCATATAGTAATTTACAAAGAAAAGAACTCACCATAAGAAAACCATTTTATTAATGACAGAACATTCTTGCAGCTAAAGCTTAACTATATAACAACGCCGCATATCAAAACGGTCGCAACAAAACAATAATGCGCAATAATGCCACTGGGTCGGAAACCTGAATTGGATTGTGATGGCTATGGTAACGGCTCTACCCTTTATATCGGGCGGCAGCTTGCGCCACCTAGCCTAGAAAATAAAACTCCCACCGGGTTGCCAGCCGAAAACGCTATTCTTCCAAAAAAAGATTCGTTCACGGACCGACAAGCTTTTTTTGGCGCAGTTTGGCGCGGTTTGGCGCAGTTTGGCGCAATTTGTGTCTTTAGGCGCAGCAAAGCGCAGGTAAAGGAGAATTTATCAAAATGGCGCAATTGGCGCAGCTGGACCACCCCTGTACATACCATTGATTCAACTTCATATCCGTATATAACATACTCCTTTTACAACAGGCTGAAATCCTGATCAAAATCAAGGTGTGTTATAACGAGCTTAGACTGCAGCGAAGCCATTTAATGTGGTAGAATAACGGGGGACACTACCCAGAAAAAACAATTTTTGCAAAAAAGTTGATTTTGAAAAAATTACACATTTACATCCAGCATCATCTAGAGAGTATTCCCAGCAAGTTTTATTAGTTTACACTGCATACTTAATTTTTTATAAATTATGTTCAGGTCACTGATGGCAAAGAAAAGGTAGGGGTTGGAGCATCTTGAATGCATTTTTCTCCGTTGCACTTTTCGGCATAAACTTCTCTTCAGGAAAACTCTTGTTTTCCTATTGTATAATAGACAATTATTCTTAGGTGGTTGTCTGGGATAGAATTTTGTGAGGAACATGCCTGGATGGTTAGTTTTTTTACTTTAACATTCTTTTAAGCAAAAAAGCAACTCTTGTAAAAAAGCGCAGACATGAAAAAAGAAAAGTTAATCTTCTTATGAAGTAATACTTATGAAAAGCAATTCAATATAGCAAAATAACTAGCTGGGTATGTGCTATGGGTATTCCTATAATTATATTACGCATGAAAATCACAAATTTTTATTTTATTTTAGAACAATAGTTTTCCTAAGCTAACACACTTACTGACTTCCATACTATAGCAACATTCGTAACAAGCGTAATAAAAGTCACGTAAACCGGCGTTTACGCGACTTTTATTACGCACGTAAGCCGGCGTTTACGTGACTTTTATTACGCGACCTTGCGCTTCAGCGACGGGCATTATGTGACCTTGATTACAAGATTCTGGACATCAGCCACGGGCATTCCATGACCTCGAGCAAGGTTGGGCCCATAAAGCTATTGCTTTAAAATATTCAGTCAAAACAACCATTCACTCCAAACTCAAAATCTACTACGTATTTGCACATGCCATCTGTACAGCGTTCACCGACGAGCCTAATTCGCTACCTTAGTAAAGAAAAATATTGGAACTTCCGAGACTGCTACTAAGTGGCTCTGACTTTTGAAAAAGATCTATTGCCACTTTCAGTGTGTTGCCATTTGCCAAGGGTTTCCCACGGGACAGCCGCCGCCGTCCAGACCTCGGTCCCGCTATAGCCACGTCGGGGTGCCGTACCTTAGAGGTACCGAGTGAAGTCCTCCGTGGCAGCAGGTGGGTCTGTAGACTCTCCCTTGGCTCTGGCATCCAGGAGGCGCTGACGGATGAGGTTGATGTGGCGCAGCCGCCCGTGCCAGTTGTTCACAAACAGGTCAGGTCCCTTCGTCTTTTGCAGCACTATGTTGCATGCAATCTGCAAGCATCAGAAGCATGCCCGACGTTCCACAACTGAGATTACCTCAGTTGTGGAACTTCCACGGAAAGGCGTACCCCCCTCACTCAATTCAGTCCGCCTCGTGTCGTTCGAAGTGCCATCTAGATTTTCGTTTACAAACTATGTTTTTCATAGAGTATGGCGGAACGCCATCTAGACGCTGCGCTTCGAAACATACGTATCCCATAGAATACGTTGCAGTTACCAAAGCAGCCATCTGGCTTGTCGAACGATGGGAGGAGTCGCGGTGATTGAGGGGGGTACTGCTCGTGCATGCAGCGTCTATGAGCAGTTCCATACCTGGTCTAATCTAATAACGTTGGCACCTCCCTAAAGCGATGCATCCTGCACTACGTTGCCTGCAATATGTACACACCGCAAGCTCCGTCCTAAGGCAACGCTTCCTGCTCTACATTTCACACAACATTCAGACATAAGCAACATCCTTTAAAGTGTCCTTCAACATGCAACTGAAATCTCGGTTAGACAGTTTGAGATCCAACCTTGCGAAACGGGAAATTTAAAAATCTCGTGGACGTTGTGGAGTTTAAGACGCCAGTTTTGGCAAGAAAGACGTACGTTGGCGTGCAATGCGAGTTGCCGAACGTACAGGGACAAGCTGCTGTCCGGAACCACCTGTGGCTCGCTGTGTCGAAAGAGCTCCATCACCTCTGAAAAACATGCGCATTATCTTTGCTTTAGATTTGCACATCACACATCCGAACCCAGTAGCGTCACAAGGGGGATTCGGGGCGGACCACCCTGGTTGCAGCGCTCCGGGGAGTGTCGCAATGGGCCGGTGGTGGGTGCGACTGACCGTAGTGACGCCACTGCCCGAACCACACCCATAGTACTCGGCGTCGACAATCACGTGCTATCCTGTAGAGACTAGTGTACCTTCCACACTGCTCCGACTCCGTCGAAGCTAGTTGAGCGAGAGAGTGAGACGTAAGACAAAGTCACGTGGTCTCATAGCAGTGCAAAGCTGCCGCGCTATGGAGGCTAAGCTAGCCTTGACGAAGTAGCATAAAATAGTCGACGCCGAGTGTAGGTGGCGCAACATACTCGTACAACCCATCTCCTCCGTGAACCGTTTAAGGCGCATATAATAAACCTTCTTTATTCCTGGCTTCTGATTATATTCTATGCTCTCAGTTGTTTTTTAAATAGGCCCTTTGGCAGAGACCAATAGCAAATTAACCTTTTTGTTTCCATGCGACGCATACTCTTCGCAGGAGCGATTTGGTCAGTATTCCTCAAAACACCTTCCACAGTGTCTCAAGAACACAGGTGCCTTTGTTCCCCCAGAAAGTGTCCGTAATGGGAGTTGTCCGTAATGATGAGACAAAAATGTGTATATTAACCAATATTATCCATGCAGCGGGGTACTGGCAGGGTCCATATTAACGTGACGTGACTGCACATGAGGAAGGGCCCGAACTCAGAGACACATTCCCAGTATTGCGTGCAAAGTCTACGAGTATCGGACTGAGGAATGCTTAAAATAGAAAGCGCACAAATTAGCCGCTGGTTGCAGATACTTGCGAGATCATGCAGGGTCGTTGTGGGGTGCGTCTGCAAAAAACCTGAATGAGCAACTTGGTAAAAGAGTGAACTACACTGCATTCGAGATGAAAGAGAAAGCAACGTTCTTCGGACGAAACAAACTACTACGTTTTTCGGCGTATTGGCGACTTTGGCGAAAACGATGCCGCATGGCGGCAACGCCGAGAAAACCCCAGAGAAGGTCATTTCGCCTCCGTCGTCTACTTTTGTCGCTTAATTCTCATGGGCAGCGCCGCTTTGTGCGTATGCTCATTAAGATCAACTAAATATTTGAGGCTCATTGGCCGAAAAAAATATGGCATGAACAAGAATGTGAAAACATCTTAGTGGTGTGCAGTTTCCCTCGTCCACGAGTTGAAAAGCAATGCCATCGCACCAAAATGTGTTCCCGTGTGAAACTTGTAGCGAGGCCCACGAATTAGAGTAAATTTACGAAATAAAAATTGCCACAAAAGTAACCCTAGCAAATAAAAGAGATAAATAAATACTAAGAAACAGCCTGCTCCTGCTGCTTTTTATTTGTTAGTCAAAAAGAATATAAAAACACTATTCATTTAAAACATCAGTCAATTCGAATGTCATAACACATATTATAACATTTTATTACGATGGCGTGACTCCTGGTGCAAGAGCCCATTTCACGCCTCCCAGGCACTAATTTATGCGAAGATCTGATTTTTGAGGATCGAACGACTCGAAAAAGTTTGCTCTATCCAACAAGTCAGGCAAAACATCAATATTATGCCAATAACATTGAAGTTTTGTTCAGCACCTGTTTAAATTCGCACAAGCACACATTCGTAGGAATGTGTGCTTGTGCGGGAACGATTATTATGGGAAAGTGCTCGCTGCGGGAACGAGTGAACAGCTGACAGCACGGCAGCGGCCAAACTCGTCGGCGAACGTAAAAAGCGGTCCCGTGTGGTTGCCCGTAATTTTCTCGCGAGAAGAGACACGAGCTTTTAGTGCCATCATGCCATCACGAGCGAGCGGAATACAGCTGAGCTGCACAGTGAGGGTGGTCCCCGTCTGAGCCTCACGAATTATGACTCGCGCGTCCGAGGAAGTCCCCAGAGGCTTCGGTGCGAGCACGAATGATGCCGAAAGCTCCGAGCACTGCATGGTACCGCAGAGCGAGCGGCTCCTACATTGGTGTTGTTCCTGCCAGCGCCAGAGCCTTTCGACCTCGGGGTTCGGTTGTAGCTGTCGAGGCTTGGCGAGGTGGCGTCCTCAGAGCAAACGAAAACGATCTTGCTCCCGGTGGCCCAGCCTGGAGCCCAAAATGCTCGGGTTTTGATGTTTCTCCCGTCTCATAACCTCTTGCACAGCATCAAAAAAAGCGGGCACAATCTTTACATTCGTCGAAAGTGTCGAAAGGGCCTCTGCGTGCGAAGCATTGGAAAACGTGGTTACGTGATGCGGCTGGTGCTGGAAACGCAGCTTTAACTTTGAGGTTTTGTGCGGCGTGGCGCCTCCGTGTAAACAATGACGTGTCGGCTTCATTCGAAGGACGATTGGAGTCGACGCGCTCAAGTCACATTCGTGTAACTGCGGCTACTCTTACACACCGACTACCTTATATTGCCGCGTATAAGACAACCTCTTTTTCCAGAAATGGGTGGCTCAAATTAGGGGGTTCGACCAATACGCGGATTTGATCGACCTATATGCGGGTTTACATGCATTCTGAGCCGAATGAAGGGTTCTACGGACTTTTCACTACATAAAGACATAGTTTCGTATTCGCAGTCAAAGACAACGTCTGGGTGACTTTATTTCGGAACTTAAAACATATTTTTATATCTAGTGATATATTTAAAAAACAGAGAAATATTATACTGGCACGAAAAAGCACTCATCACTGCCCGAGAAACTCAGTCGGAACTTCGTAGGGAAAATATGTGATTTTGTCCCTAGGCACGCCGAAAAGAAAACGGGCGCACCATCGTCGCCATCCTTTCTTTCTTCGCTCGTTCAGAAGACTGCGTCGGACGAAAATGCCACCGCAAGCTCGCTGCCAGTACAGCGCGTTGTTCAAACGAAAAGTCATCCTCTTTGCCAAAGCGGAAAATATCGTAGCAGCTGAGCGGCACTTTGGCGTCTCTGAAAAGTGTGTTAGAGGATGGCGGCGGCAACGCGATCAAATCTTCGCATGCGCCGGTACGAGACGCTCCTTTCGTAGGCCCAAGCAGGGACAGTTTCCTGCCGTCGAAGAGGCTGTCCGAAAGTGGGTCGTTGACCATTGATGCAAAAGCCTCACTGTTTCGTATGAAGATATTGAGTGCAAGGCACGTGCAGTTGCTACGAAACTGAACATTGCGCGCACCAAGTTTAAGATATCGAAGAAGTGGGTGACCAACTTCATGAAGTGCAATGGGCTAAGCCTGAGAAGGCGAACGACTGTGTGCCAGAAGCTGCCGGATGCCTACGAGGAAAAGCTGCAGGAGTTCCATCGCTACGTTGATGACCTCCGAACGCGGAACAGCTTCATGCTCGGCCAGATCGGCAACGCCAATCAGACGCCGGTTTAGTTCGACATGCCAAGCAGAAGAACCGTCGCCAAAAATGGTTGTCACCAGGTGAATTTGCTAACAACGGGGAACGAACACAATTGCTTTACCGCAATGTTGTGCTGCACGGCCGATGGCCACAAGCTGCCCCCGTACCTGGTGTTTAAGTGGAAAACAATGCCGAAAAACGAACAGTTTCCGCCGAAGGTGATTGTTCGCGTCAACGAGAAAGGTTTTTTCAATGAGGAGACCGTCTTGGAGTGGTTTCGGCTCGTCTGGTGTAGGCGTCCGGGTGCCCTCTTAAAGCCCCGGAGCATGCTCGTCTTGGATTCTTTCCGTGGACACATTACGGACCGTGTCAAGAAGACGATCGCCAACGAAGGATGCGACCTGGTCATCATTCCGGGGGGTTGACATCTGTCGTTCAACCCCCTGACGTAGTTCTTAACAAGCCCTTCAAGGACCGCGTCGGGGCCTTCTACGACGAGTGGATGGCCCAGGAGGACAACCCCAAGACGCCGACAGGTCGTGTGAAGCTTGCCTCGTTGAGCACTGTGGCCCAGTGGGTGAATGATGCCTGGTACGGGCTGCCTGCGGACATGGTTCGTGCAGCGTTCTCCAAGTGCAGGATTTCAACGCCGCTTCCCCCGTCCGGCCCCTCTGACCCACAAGGCAACGACAGCAGTGACTGCGTCATCGTCACGAGTGACGTCAAGTGAGGCACGAGCTCATAGGGAGACCTCATCTACCTCTATGTGAATAAATATGATATTCATTTGGCATAACTTGCACTTTTAAAAAAAAAAAAAAAAAATCTTTTTTTTGGTTAGCGGTTGTCCAGCATTAGGGGGGTCGACTCATATTCGGGTCATCTTATACGCGGCAATATACGGTAGAAGAAAAGTTTTTAACATCCAAAAGGCCCCTTTGCTTCCACATATAGCTCCATTTCTACGCCGCAATGCAAACAATCAAGGTGTTTCGCGTGTGGAACGATGAAACCGACCTCCTTTCGTCTGCCATTTTTCCTGACCAGTGCGCCCCCTATAGTTCGCTGGAGTCGCCAATAAAACTCACGTTTGTACAAGTCACACTCCCTTCTAAACCGCCGTTCTAAAAAAAAAGTTCATGTACAAGTCGCATCTTTGTGTAAGTCAAAGTCCCCTATAAAAGGGTGTTTCGAGAGAAGAAGTTGGTATTCATGTCGTGTCTTTGCATAAGTCGCATCTACCTACCTATATACTTGCACGGTTCGCATGGCAAACTGCATTGAAAAGTCCTCATATGGGTTTTGTGATCGCAATGCATGCGCAAACAAGAGCGAGTTTCAACATTCTCGTCAACAAATTGAAGGAGAAACGAAACCCCTTTGGACAATTTCAACAATTAACGTTCATACTTGTAGAAAAAAAAAGAAGCCTTCAAGTGGCATTGCTGTGTAAGACAGACTGATAGAAGATTTCTTAAACGCCCGTGGCTCGTACGTAGGAAATTATGGTACACATCACAGAGAGTAGCATTTCGGACACCAAGGCTATAGAACTCAAGCTAATGGATTCGGCACGCAAAATAAAGAAATGGAGTGGTTCATGAGCGATGCAAGGCATCAAGTGATAGCATTCCATCACTTTTAGTCACCCCCAGTCACCTGCTTTTCCCTCGAGAGTCACCAAGTTGTTGCCCAGCTTCCACGGTTCTATGATCACGAAGGCATGGTGAAATTCGCCCTGCATGGAGGAAAGGAGAACATTAAATTCGGTTTGGAAAAAAAAGGGGGGACTTCTCAAACGAATTCTTCAACAAAAAAGTGGCATTTCTGACAGACGGAACCTTTACACTTCAGCTTTAAAGACAAGGATGAACTAAAGCAACATTCACTGCTTGGCTCGACTTGCTCCAATGTTTATTATTAAATCATTGCAACGAGTCCTTTAAGTCGTACGAAATTGATGCCCTGTCTTGCTTACCCTGTCCATGACTACCGTACATACAAAAGTGACTCTGGTGCTAGGGGCCTCGTCAGGTGACTTTTAGTCTTACCTTTTGCTGCAGCACTGAGACAATTCTCTATTGTTCAAAGATTGAAACACCATATTTACTCGAGTAATAGCCCCCCTATTTGTGAACAAGGTCCTTGCGTCTACTTCCCTGCAGAACACATATCCAGCCAATCATCCCATTGCACATAAACAGTGAATAGCTAGATCGAGAACATGGTTGTCTACAAAATTGCCATCTTTTCAGGTGGTATCTTCGTGTAAGGACGCTACTCTATCTTGTAAATTGCTGGAATCACGCTGTCAAACGCAGTGATTGGCAATCCGCGTGCTCAGCGCAAATGCGAGCCCTCAAGTTTTCTTCATAAACAGTGCGGCTATTACTCAAGTAAATACAGTAAATGAATAAAACAAATACAATACACTTCTGACTTCACCACGCCTGACTTGCGTCGCAACTGCCTGCGACTTCCTAGCGGGCCGGAGGCGAGGGCGACGAAGGTGTCCCGCTTACCCGGAAAGTTTCCCTGTCGCAGGACTCGGAGCTGTCGTTGTAGAGCACCATGACGTAGTCATTGCCGATGTGGCGCTTCTTGTCGCTGCGTTGCCGGTCGTTCTCCTTGTTGGGCATCAGCGTGGCCACGTGGAAGATCACTGCCAGCCCCGTAAAAAAAAGATTCAGCAGCTGTACTTCGTTTCAGTTTCAGTGCGGGCATGCCAGAACCTGCAAGAGCGAGCTTTGGGCTCTCGACATCCCAGCCGAGCATACGCGCTCGTGCAGCACGAGCACCGATCGGGGCGACGCGCTCATGTGATCTTTCGTGTGAGCTTTGTTCACACGCAAGATAAAATGAACTGTAAAGCTCTCTGAACTTAATAGAAAAACTGAGAAAAGAAAACTACATAGCTCAGAAAAACAATTCTGATACAATGGCAATTTGTATTTGACCCTCTCAAAGCATCATGTGCATATGTTTCCAACTTATAAGTAAAACATCGGTGAAACTTGGTCCCACGGATGATGTTCTACTTTTTCAGTTAATTCAGTTAATGCCCACCAGCAGAACATTTAATGAAGTCGTTGGCTGCGAATGCATTCTTGAGCTTATTGTCTATTTGGGGGTCAGCTGATTAGCACACCAGATCTAGTCAATCTTTTGAATTCGTCCTAAGTTAATACGTCCGATTGACCAGGCTTGCAAAAACAAAAACATACTTTTTGCCCTGGAGATTGTGGCACGTGCCTTTGAGAAAAGTGGGGGAAGCGTAATTTCTGGCGGCATGCCTGGGGCCATATTATATTTCCTCGCAGACTGCCGGTTGTCGACCCCTGTTCTAAGGTAATGCTTAAACTGGAAGAAAACCTTAACGGCAGGGCTAAGGAGCTTGTAGAACCCTTAAGGGTACCCTGTGGCCAGTTCTGGGTTCCAAGGAACTCGGTTTGGGTACCTGCGATCTAAGAAAAACCCTTTTTTTTACAGCCCCGATTGGCCCCCACTAACCACATGCCAGACGCAGACTTCAGCCCAGAAAACAAGCCACTCTTCCGAGCAAAAGATGAAACGAACGGACGCAGCCCGGAAGCGAGGGAATGTGAGCTCACCCTGCATGATGTCGTCCTGCCAGCTGATGGAGTACTTGCCGTCCGCGCCGCGCACGTCCAGCCCTCCCGTGTAGGTGGCCTTGGTGTCCAGGTCCCGCAAGCACACCGTGCGTCCGAGGCCCAGCAGGAATCGAGTGTAGCGCTCCGAGCCGCTCCGGTTCGAGAGCATCGCCGTCTCCGACTGGGCCTGGTTTCGACGAGAGGACGACAAGGGTACGAAGAAAAAGAGGTCCAGCACAAAGCCCCTTGACAAAATCTATGGTTTGCATTTCTCGCGAGCGCCCAAAGACAGCGGTTGCGCAAACGCGCCAGTCACGTGTCACGAGCGAATGCTCCACCGCCACTCGCTTCCAAGGACAGCACGAGGCATGGGCCACGTGCGTCGACGCTATTCGCGAGGCAAACCAAGACGTCGAGGGGCTTTAGTTGAGCCAGTATAGTTAACTCTTGTTAATTCAAAATATCTTAATTCAAACTCGTGGATAATTTAAACTAAAGTGCAGGTCTTGTCCTATGTGTTTCTAGGGAGGAAACTCCCAGTAATTTGAACTGTGCATTATTCAAAGAAAGTTTTGGTTCCCCTCAGGTTCAAATTGATGAGATTCCACTGTACTGCTTTCACCCCTAAGCTGACAGTGCAGTGGAAGCTACGTGCTTGCCCGACCAATCGACCGCCTTTCTTTCGTCTCCCGGTTCCGCTCTCTCTGCGTGGAAATGGTCACTGATCGCCGACTAGTATTTACGATGCTAACATCTTTTGCAAAGGAATTGTGCGTGGAACCTCCCACCACGACTTAAAAGGCAACTCCACTCCATTTTTACAATTTTTAAGTTATGGTATGTTTAGCCGAATTCGGCAATCCTGAATCACGAAATATAATTTGTTTTGCGGTAGTGTGTCTGGTTTTGTAGATATCGCGTATCCAAGTTTCATTCCGGTGGCACGGCGAAATCGAAACTACCGGCTCAAGCAGCTTGGCAACACTGATAATCAGTGGCGCGTCGATGGCATGACATAGTTCTCGTCCCGCTCTGCCGAGCCGACGCACCGACACTGCCGGCTCAGTCGCACGTAGAGTTCAACATAGAAGGTAAGTTGCACATTTTTTTTAAATGCGGAAGCATTAACTGTCTCATTAAGCGAGCTAACGTCATCAGTTTGAAGTGCGAAAATGGCACCTAGTTTCTCTGATCCCAAAGGTCCCATTGGCTGGTGCGTGGCGACGGACTCCCATTGGCTGCTGCGCCTGTCAGTTTCAACGACTGTCACCAGATGGCGCTGCATGTCTGGGCCGCCAGCGCGCCGATAAAACTAACCGCCGCAACCCCATGCCACTACGGGCCCCGCAGCAATTAAAACGGACACATTGGCGCGCGCTCGAAGGCTTCTGCTCGTCTCGCCGCCGACCAACATGCCGCGACGGACTCCCATTGGCCGCTGCGCCTGTCAGTTTCAACGACCGCCACCAGATGGTGCTGCATGTCTGTGCCGCCAGCGCGCCGATAAAACTAACCGCCGCAACCCCATGCCACTACGGGCTTCGCAGCAATTAAAACGGACACGTTGGCGCGCGCTCGAAGGCTTCTGCTCGTCTCGCCGCCGAACAACATGCCGCGACAGACTCCCATTGGCGGCTGCGCCTGTCAGTTTCAACGACCGCCACCAGATGGTGCTGCATGTCTGTGCCGCCAGCGCGCCGATAAAACTAACCGCCGCAACCCCATGCCACTACGGGCTTCGCAGCAATTAAAACGGACACGTTGGCGCGCGCTCGAAGGCTTCTGCTCGTCTCGCTGCCGACCAACATGCCGCGACGGACTCCCATTGGCCGCTGCGCCTGTCAGTTTCAACGACCGCCACCAGATGGTGCTGCATGTCTGTGCCGCCAGTGCGCTGATAAAACTAACCGCCGCAACCCCATGCCACTACGGGCTTTGCAGCAATTAAAACGGACACGTTGGCGCGCGCTCGAAGGCTTCTGCTTGTCTCGCCGCCAACCAACATGCCGCGACGGACTCCCATTGGCGGCTGCGCCTGTCAGTTTCAACGACCGCCACCAGATGGTGCTGCATGTCTGTGCCGCCAGCGCGCCGATAAAACTAACCGCCGCAACCCCATGCCACTACGGGCTTCGCAGCAATTAAAACGGACACGTTGGCGCGCGCTCGAAGGCTTCTGCTCGTCTCGCTGCCGACCAACATGCCGCGACGGACTCCCATTGGCCGCTGCGCCTGCCAGTTTCAACGACCGCCACCAGATGGTGCTGCATGTCTGTGCCGCCAGTGCGCCAATAAAACTAACCGCCGCAACCCCATGCCACTACGGGCCCCGCAGCAATTAAAACGGACACGGCGCGCGCTCGAAGGCTTCTGCTCGTCTCGCTGCCGACCAACATGCCGCGACGGACTCCCATTGGCCGCTGCGCCTGTCAGTTTCAACGACCGCCACCAGATGGTGCTGCATGTCTGTGCTGCCAGCGCGCCGATAAAACTAACCGCCGCAACCCCATGCCACTACGGGCTTCGCAGCAATTAAAACGGACACGGCGCGCGCTCGAAGGCTTCTGCTCGTCTCGCTGCCGACCAACATGCCGCGACGGACTCCCATTGGCCGCTGCGCCTGTCAGTTTCAACGACCGCCACCAGATGGTGCTGCATGTCTGTGCCGCCAGTGCGCCGATAAAACTAACTGCCGCAACCCCATGCCACTACGGGCCCCGCAGCAATTAAAACGGACACGTTGGCGCGCGCTCAAAGGCTTCTGCTCGTCTCGCCGCCGACCAACATGCCGCGACGGACTCCCATTGGCCGCTGCGCCTGTCAGTTTCAACGACCGCCACCAGATGGTGCTGCATGTCTGTGCCACCAGCGCGCCGATAAAACTAACCGCCGCAACCCCATGCCACTACGGGCTTCGCAGCAATTAAAACAGACACGTTGGCGCGCGCTCGAAGGCTTCTGCTCGTCTCGCCGCCAACCAACATGCCGCGACGGACTCCCATTGGCGGCTGCGCCTGTCAGTTTCAACGACCGCCACCAGATGGTGCTGCATGTCTGTGCCGCCAGCGCGCCAATAAAACTAACCGCCGCAACCCCATGCCACTACGGGCTTCGCAGCAATTAAAACGGACACGTTGGCGCGCGCTCGAAGGCTTCTGCTCGTCTCGCTGCCGACCAACATGCCGCGACGGACTCCCATTGGCCGCTGCGCCTGTCAGTTTCAACGACCGCCACCAGATGGTGCTGCATGTCTGTGCCGCCAGCGCGCCGATAAAACTAACCGCCGCAACCCCATGCCACTACGGGCTTCGCAGCAATTAAAACGGACACGTTGACGCGCGCTCGAAGGCTTCTGCTTGTCTCGCCGCCAACCAACATGCCGCGACGGACTCCCATTGGCGGCTGCGCCTGTCAGTTTCAACGACCGCCACCAGATGGTGCTGCATGTCTGTGCCACCAGCGCGCCGATAAAACTAACCGCCGCAACCCCATGCCACTACGGGCTTCGCAGCAATTAAAACGGACACGTTGGCGCGCGCTCGAAGGCTTCTGCTCGTCTCGCTGCCGACCAACATGCCGCGACGGACTCCCATTGGCCGCTGCGCCTGTCAGTTTCAACGACCGCCACCAGATGGTGCTGCATGTCTGTGCCGCCAGTGCGCCGATAAAACTAACTGCCGCAACCCCATGCCACTACGGGCCCCGCAGCAAGTAAAACGGACACGTTGGCGCGCGCTCAAAGGCTTCTGCTCGTCTCGCCGCCGACCAACATGCCGCGACGGACTCCCATTGGCCGCTGCGCCTGTCAGTTTCAACGACCGCCACCAGATGGTGCTGCATGTCTGTGCCACCAGCGCGCCGATAAAACTAACCGCCGCAACCCCATGCCACTACGGGCTTCGCAGCAATTAAAACAGACACGTTGGCGCGCGCTCGAAGGCTTCTGCTCGTCTCGCCGCCGACCAACATGCCGCGACGGACTCCCATTGGCCGCTGCGCCTGTCAGTTTCAACGACCGCCACCAGATGGTGCTGCATGTCTGTGCCACCAGCGCGCCGATAAAACTAACTGCCGCAACCCCATGCCACTACGGGCCCCGCAGCAAGTAAAACGGACACGTTGGCGCGCGCTCAAAGGCTTCTGCTCGTCTCGCCGCCGACCAACATGCCGCGACGGACTCCCATTGGCCGCTGCGCCTGTCAGTTTCAACGACCGCCACCAGATGGTGCTGCATGTCTGTGCCACCAGCGCGCCGATAAAACTAACCGCCGCAACCCCATGCCACTACGGGCTTCGCAGCAATTAAAACGGACACATTGGCGCGCGCTCGAAGGCTTCTGCTCGTCTCGCTGCCGACCAACATGCCGCGACGGACTCCCATTGGCCGCTGCGCCTGTCAGTTTCAACGACCGCCACCAGATGGTGCTGCATGTCTGTGCCACCAGCGCGCCGATAAAACTAACCGCCGCAACCCCATGCCACTACGGGCTTCGCAGCAATTAAAACAGACACGTTGGCGCGCGCTCGAAGGCTTCTGCTCGTCTCGCCGCCGACCAACATGCCGCGACGGACTCCCATTGGCCGCTGCGCCTGTCAGTTTCAACGACCGCCACCAGATGGTGCTGCATGTCTTTGCCGCCAGCGCGCCGATAAAACTAACCGCCGCAACCCCATGCCACTACGGGCTTCACAGCAATTAAAACGGACACGTTGGCGCGCGCTCGAAGGCTTCTGCTCGTCTCGCTGCCGACCAACATGCCGCGACGGACTCCCATTGGCCGCTGCGCCTGTCAGTTTCAACGACCGCCACCAGATGGTGCTGCATGTCTGTGCCACCTAGGGTGCCTACATGTCTGTCTGTCTCAGGGTGAAGACAACCATTGTTGCCCTGAATGTGCCAGTGCGTGACGCTCTCGCGCACTCGGTGTGTGACTTGGGCGGTAAAATGGCGTCTGCATTAGCCAAAGGTACGCGCTCGAGCTGAGTGACCCCGGATTGCGCGCACTTCAAAATGCATAAAAAACAATTGGGTGGAAAAATGGCTGAGATGTCACCACTCAAGCAAAAGCGCGTGTGTATGAAGGCACTCTAGTGCCACCAGCGCGCCGATAAAACTAACCGCCGCAACCCCATGCCAGTACGGGCTTCGCAGCAATTAAAACAGACACGTTGGCGTGCGCTCGAAGG